GGTTATAATTACTCTACCATGCTTAAGGTATGTATATGAGTTATTCCACTCTGGGTGGAGGCGCAGTAGCCTTAATAGGCCATCCCGAGTTCCGGTGGAGGCGCAGTAGCTTTAATAGGCCATCGGAGTGTGCACATGGACGGACATAGTGTCCGAGGAGGTTCAGTTCAGTTACCGACCCAGTGTCGGGAGATTACAGTTTACTTATATATACCTGCAGTCATGATATTGATATTATTATTAATGTTTACTTCAGTACGAGTTTCTGCGGAGCACAGTGGCTTTTAGTGCTCACGCCCCACGATGTTTATGTTTTTCAGGTTACAGAGTCGGATCAGAGGAGTGAGCTGGTTGGTGGATCGTGGTCATGGATATGGCTAGCAGCCATTGTATATTATTGTACGGTTATATTTTGCCACGTTGACTTCCGCTGTCATTTTACGACAATTCATCTAGCATGTCAGTTTTTATTTTAAAATTGGTTTATCAGACAGATTTTTATAAAGTACTACATGCTAGTTGATCTAAAATTAATCCGTTTATTTTTAAAGTTAAATTTAAGTAGAGACAACGGATTTTCAAAACAATGAATGGTTTTTAGTAGCATCCCGAAAAGGATTTCGCAAATGAACATGTTTTATTAAGAAAAGAATTTGCGAAAAATGCACTCTGATATTTATGGAAAAGCGGGGTGTTACATCTCTGACCCCCGACACTACAATTAGTAAGGAGTTGCTTGACCTATGGTCTTGCATACTAAACTACAACGAGAAATTTAGAAGTCGGGGTGCTGCAACTCGTTTTTTTGCATCCACATCCCCGTGCAGCGAGGTATGGCACGCACTATCTTATGTGAACTATATAATATTGTCAGTGTTACGAACATTATAAGTTTAAATATATTTTAAATCGGTTGATTCTATTGCGACTCGCAGCTGTTCTTTGAGAGAAAACGAAAAAAGGAGACGAGCTATAAGAAGTTTGCTCAAACCCTTGATTCTGAAATTGCCCGCCTGTCCATTTACGAACTGAAGCAAATACGTGTGGTATGGTATCAATCCCCGAATTATCATGTTACTTTCTTTAACACTAGGTGTATACACATGTGGTCTTTCGGTTAATTAAATCCTCTATATTTTATCGTTATTGCAGTTTTTATTTCTGGTGCACTCGGAGACATTTCACGGCTTAATATGCGTTGTTCCAGAATCCTAAAAGTTGAGAATTATAGACAGTTCTGGAACTTGCAGAGATGGAGCTCTTATGAGATCGATGGGTCCACGATCTGAGTTGTTGGTAATTATATAAATATTCAAATATGTTTCTTATAGTTACAATTGACTATATGCAGTTATTTTGAAAGTTAGTATCACATTTATTGCAGCAAAGGTCGATCTCAAAGTTTCTAGGCGAAAGGAACTGTTGGAAAAGTTCCAAATCAATTGCACTGGTTGTTCCTGATGTTTTCGACACAGCATGGACTGAGGGCGTCGACCAGACAGACATCGGAGTGATCACAATGCGTCACATGGAGACGTATAAGGGTGGGGTCTTAAAAACATGGAATCCTGGGCTGCGGAGGGCGAACAAAGGCCAGATCAATCTTATCAGGAAGCGCTACGCGTATGTTATAGCATTTGCCCCAAACAACGATTTGAAGGAGGATAATCTAGTAGCAGCAAAGAGTATTCACCCGGTGTAACTTTCAAACAAGAAGCAATCAGCCGCATGAAGCAAAATGTGTTTTGGGAATTGCTCATTTGTCCGAACGTCAATACGTAGTTTGTTAGTTTTGCGTAAGACTAATCAAATGTGGGTGGTGATTACATTTTGCACTATGTCATTACTGATTGTCGATTTCTTTTGATGAACTTGATCGTTGTGTTTTGAATGTCAGGTTGTACGACTGAACTTTTGGATGTCCAATCATTTATGTGGTATCAGTCGTATTTCTACACGGTTATCGTGCAGTCCCGTACATATTATCGTGCAACTTAGTTGGTGTGGCTGGTCGCGTTTGTTCATGTCATCAATTTATATGCTCGTGTAGTTGTTTTTTTTATTTATTTATTTTATTTATGTAGTTGTTTATTTATTAATATATTATTCGGTATGATATCGTATTTCATTTTGTCTATTAACATAATAATCATCGATATTATAACAAGATTACGGTGCATAATGATGGTACATGTTGTGCATAGTTCAACCAATGTTTGTGCAATATGGTGTATAATGTTGTGCACCTACTGTGCAATTATATGTGACTGCGACTTTACATATTGTTTATTTTGATATTATTTCACGTTACTTAATCAAGTAATAACGAATTTTAAATACTTAATTATTTCATGATTAATAAATACATCATGTGTGTGAATGTCAACTATGGTTAATGTGCCAATGTGCTAAGTATAATGTGATAAAAATAATGCAATAACGTGCGTGTGAGATTCGGTGTGATTTAGACATGATATTTTTTGTTGTACTTCTAAACCCATATTCCGGTATTACGTACATATCATAAAAGCATCAACAGCCTGTCTTAATTGTTTGCCCCAAATGTTGATACTCGAACCAACAAAAAAAAAGTAAAAAACATAGCATAATATCATATCTCGTCGGTCTGATCGTAGTGTAATGAAAACATTAATGTAGCTGAGCGCAACTTGTAATCACTTGCAATGATCTAAATTTTTTTTTTCAAATACCCAAATAGATGTAACTGAATGCCGTTGGTTCTCGTGTAACTGCATCCAAAGGTGGTAAAACATCATAGCATATCGGCATTTTCCGATGGTGCCTGCACGCGTAAAGTCGTAATTAGTAAACATCGTTAATGATACTTATATAGTACTGAATGATGATTGCGTGCAAATAATGTATATGAATCACACGATCATATTACACAACATTAATTTAATTTTCTGGTTGTAGAAAAAAAAAAGAAGAAAAAAAAAAAAACAACAGCACAATGCATTACACCTCAACCTAAATTGCTCTGGTGCATTTAACAATATTCCAGGAGTGTCATAGTTGATGCAGGAAAAAATAAAAAAATAATCAAATAACTAAACCATCAGTATAAATATAAGATTTTACATACCTGTGAATGATGGTCTGATGGTATGTCTATTGTTTTTTTGGGCAGGTTCGTGCATTATGTCCTACCCTCTCACCACACGTCTTACATAGTCTCTTTTTCTTTTGCGACTTTTCAATTGACTTCTCCTTCATGCTCTTCATCCTTTTTCCGCTCCCTTTGTTTTTCGATTGTGTTGGAGGTTGGATGCGTATATCTTGTGGGACAGAGATCCCAACAAAAGATTCCAATCTCTCTTCCCTTTCAACTGCGGCTGAAACACCACCCCCTTGTTCGACCATGAGGGTTCGCTTATGCTCTTCGATGAGTCTAGAAAACTCGACCAGCTGGTCCATTTGAGTCTCGATCAACCCCACACAAATATGTACATTCGACCATATCTTATTCAGCAAGATTTTTTTATCATTTATTTTGGCGCATTCTTCTGAAATGTTGTCAACGACATGGAACAGAGGTTTGCTAAATGAAAATTTCGTCCACCTTGAGCTAATGTGAGCAGGAGGTATAACCTCAATGTTCAGGTCTTTGAACACAACGAAGATATGCTTACACGGCCACCCGTACATTTCAGAGTGTTTGCAAGAGCATCGAGATTTTTCTAGACTGACATTGTGCATCACAGTAAATGATTTCCCATCTGAATTTCTTATCACAAATGTGATTTCACTGTTATTTTCAGAACATTGAATCACCCGACATTTGAAACACGCCTCACATATTTCAGCCTGCACGCGGTAGAAGATTGAGGTGGTGTACACAGACAAAGCATGCCTTTCAACCGACAATGGTGTTTTTAAGTCAGCCATGTGTGTTTCAGTATCAGTTTGCAACTTCATTGCCGCGTTGCGTTGTGTGTCCATCGCACTATCATAATGTAAAAAAAACTCGACCAAACTTGACTGATTGTTAGTAAAACTGCTAAACCAATTGTTCTCACTTTCCGATCTAGATGTAGTTCTCATTAGACCACTCATCCCAACATCTCTAAAATATGTCGGTATCCAATACTCTCTCTTAGCGAATAAATCGTTGAACCAATTATGTGTGTCCAGACCATATTAATGCATAATAGAAGCCCATTTAGTCTCAAACTCAACTGGATCAATGTTCCTATTCCAGACAATTTCATTAAGTCTCTTTTTGAAATTCGGGTCACTATTCAGAGCATAACCGACTTTCTCACCTAGTTTATTCATGATGTGACACATGAGGAAGCGGTGCTTGCTAACAGCGAATACCTTGGGGAAAGCAATCCCAATCGAGGGGTCTTGGTCTGTGATTATGTAGTTCGGCTCATCAACCATTGCACTCTTGAAGTTTTCTAACACCCATACGTAAGAATCGACGTCTTCTTTTGCTATCAAGGCGGCTGCAAACGTTACACACTTCCCGTGGTTGTCTATGCCGGTAAAAGGTGCAAACACCATATTGTATCTACAAGCAACAAAATATGGTCTATTAGTGCACATGCTAGTTATATAACGTGCAAAAACTTATGATGTATCATGTTGTATACCTTGTGGTGCAAGAACAACATAACTACGTAATTGATATTTAATTATTGTACCTATTTGTGTTATACGTGGCATCAAATGATACAACGTCCCCGAAAGACCCAAAGTTACGCCTTGATATCGTATCAACCCAAAAAAGCCTGTTTAGGCGGTCATGTTCGTCGAGCTCATAACGAAAATAAAAGGCAGGGCTATTCTCCTGATGCTTATAAAACTTATCAATAATCAACTGAGCATCAACACCTAAAATGTACCCCATGAGCTCTCGCTTGAAGTTCCTGAACTCCGTGTCGGTGGAGCCGATATTAGAGTAACTTCCCACCATCTCTTTGTACAATTTGTACGACTTGATAGGGCCTATGTTGGCCTTTATACAGTTGAGGACAAACGTTTGATGTGCGGCTGTCATTGTCCGGTTGATCTTTAGTCGTGCTCTATACTCATCAGACGTCATCGGATGGTTGTGCTTTTCTTCAAAAAAACGAAGAATATAGCTGTTTAATCCATTGACTCGAAGCATGATCTGGGCATTACACACCACTCGGTTTGATACCCTGCGCCTTCGTGGGTGCATTGATTGGACCGTTTCCGCGTGGTGCTTGTAGCCCTCTCTTGAACATACTAAATATTTCCAAACGACCGTCTTATCAGCCACTTTAATAAGGGTGTTGTGTCTAACATCAAACCCAACCGTAGAAGCATACGAAGTGTAGAAAACAACTGCCTCATCGAGCCCTTGAAAAATTTGTCCCTTGAAGGGCCTAAGTGAATCATCACATTGTGGTATCCAATATTTAGTGCCGCCTGGTGTAATGAGTAGCTTGTGCGTAGGAGGTGATGATATTCGGACTGAATTTGTTGTAGTATTTTGGTAGGACCGGCCAAAAAAAAATGAGAGAGAGAGAGATAGAGAATAATAATAATAATAATAATAATAATAATAACAATAATAATAATAATAATAATAATAATAATAATATAGATAAAAAAGAATGTAAGATACACATTTTCGGACATTATCATGCACATTTATATGCAGTTCAATGCACATTTACGTGCGTCGTCATGCACTATATGACATATGGGCAGTGATTCATAATTTTTTGAACAAAACAGGGTATATGAATGTATGTTGCGATTTCAATTCAACATGCATTCCTGATGAATTCCAAAACATATACGTTAATAAACACAAAATCAATCAACAATATCGTGTTATTACTACCTTCTTGAGTTGCGTACAGATCCCCAGGCGCTTCCATACATAAAATTCCTGTAAAAAAGCAAAAAAAAGCCTAAATCAATCAGAGAGTCAGTAGTTTATCTCACGTATGATTCGCGTCATACCCAGATTATTGGTATATTCGAGCTCGATCAAAAACAAACAAGATAGAAAAAAAGGAAAGAATGCAACAGTAAAGATCGAATTACCTGATTTCTAGTCGATCGGCTTCTTTATGTGCTGGATTTTAATCCGCTGACTTCGGATTAATCACGTTGCCGACGTGCGAATATTCAGGAGCTCGATGTTCAATCAACAGGTTACTCTTTTTTTCGCACAGACGATCGATCTAAAAACCCTAAGCTCAATTTTAATGTTGATGTTTTAATTGCACTATCATCTCCACCGTACACGCCAGTGCAGGCAATTACAAGTTTGCCCTTTTAGTTATGTGTGCGCGGATTTGTGTTGGGCTAATGCTGGGCGTACGATTACATTGATCTTGTGGCTAATATTTATTCTTGTTTCTTTCGTTGACACTTATTCTCACCGGAGCGCATCCCTATATATATATACAACATAAACTATTAAATTCTTATTTTTTTTAAAAATACACGATCAGCGGCGTGCTTCATTAGAGCTTCGGATTTTGTTCTTGTTGCCATTATAGTATGATCGGGAACATTCTGTTTAAAGCCAAACAAAGAGAAAAATAAAAAAAGACATAAGTAATGTATATAATTTTCTTTCAAAAAACCAGGAAAATTAAAGATGTAATATATATATATGTTATATACACAACATAGACTATTAAATTTTTTTAAAAAAAAATACTCG